AGTAAATCCATATTAATACGATGAGCTGTAAAAGACTCAAGTCAATAACTTCTGAGGATAACCCACTAATATTATAGACTACTAGACAGTGTTAGATTGTTTAGTTGAATTCAAACACCTATAATATTTAGATGCCAATAGAATATTCACCTCTGACAGGACAAAAAAATTAAAATTAAAATTAATAAAAAAGATACAAAGGAAAGATTTTGTATTTAAATTTACAGCTACTTTCGCTTAACTCAATGAGAAGAAAGAGGTGTACTAACAGTGTTTGAACAGAATATCCTGTCTGCTTCTTGTACTATGGATAACCACTAAGAAGATAACAATGTACAGTGTATTGACTATCAAAACTGTCCTGTTAATCAGCTGTGAAACTGTCTCATTCATATTTATTTCTCAGTAAAAAAAAAATATATAAAAAATAAAAATAAAAAAAGTATCAGGACTGGGGAGATGGCTCTGTAGAATAAGTGATTGCCTGACAAGTTCAAGGTCCTGAGTTCAATCCCTGATACTGAAAAGAAAATAGTATCAAATGTTAGAAATTTGATGTTATTGCATAATTAGGACTTGCAAAGTTTCTGGTGGTAACAGAATGCAGTCCAAATTAATTTTCAAAATGAACAGAAAGAATATATGATAAGGCATTAAGTATATCAGAAAAATAGCAATCTCACATTGTAATAATCTCTTTTCAATGGAATAGATAGGATGGGAGAACAAGAAAAAAAACTAACAAATTTGTACAATATGGCAATTTTATCTTATGTTGTAAGACACATTAAGCAAAGAGAGAGAGACAGAGCAATGGTACATAAATACTTTGGAAATTGACTTCCCAATATGGATGCTATTAAAGTAATATTTGTAAAGTAAAAAATAAATAAATAAAATAAAATTAAGAGATCATTCAAAAAAAAAAGATATGGAGGTTTGTTGACCCCGAGAAATCTTCTTGAGAGTATCCATACAACTTACTACCTCTGGGAATCATTTTCCTTTCCCCCATGTTCCCTTGCCTTCACATCATTTGGGTGGACACAGCCATGCTCTTGGTTCTGGTTAGGGTAAACTAGCTAAGAAATGGAAGAACACTTGACTCATCCCTATCAAGTCATAGAATACACAAGGACTGCATCACAGATTTGCATATGATGAAAACCAAACTTGTCAAATGCCATATTCCTATAAGCTATATAGATTTGTACCTAGATTATTAGGAAGAGTTCCATCCACATGAAGAAATGAAACCAAGAGAGTGAAATAGATTTACAGAGAAATAAGGAAAGTTTAGCAAGACTGTTCTTGGTGATGTGTGATTTCATGGTTTCACCTGTTCCTGCAGCAAGCCTGCTCCCTTTGTCCTTTGGTTATGTGAATATGAACTCTTTTTGAGTAAGAATGATTAACACAGATCCCTGTTATTAAAAGCAAAACTAAAGAGTGAAGTGATCAGGGGCCAGGTCAAATAGCTCAGGGGATTAAAGCACCTGCAAGCAGGCGCAGGGGCTGGGTATTCAATCCCTAGGCCTGCCATACTGGACCCACCCCCAGGGCACACTGAGACAGTGTTTGAGACTGGGTGTGGATGTGCGTGCCTGTAATCCCAGCACTTGAGAGGCTCTAAACAGGAGAATCGCTACAAGTCCAATCTAGTAGTGAGACCCTGATACCCTGTAGACCTTTCCCAAAATACAGAAAAAAGTGAGGTGATCAACCCAAATATAGATTATTTTCAAAGTAACCAATATTTGAAATTAAGTGACCAATTTTTGCTATTTGCCCCAAAGGTACCATAGCTGTCCTCATCAACAGTGAGGCCACAAGCTCCTCCAACAATGAGGAAAACTGAGTTCCCATCAGGAAAGCCAACGTGACAAGCTTCTCAAAGTAAACCATAGCCATTCTCAGCAACAGCAAGGTCCTGAGTTCCTTCAATGATGAGAACAGCTGAGTTCATTGGGAAAGCCAGCATAATAAGCCCCTCCAAGAGAACCAATAGTTCCCTACAGTCTCTCAACAGCTTCCTACAGCTTCTACCCACTCCCAACAGCCTCTGTCTCTGTCTCTGTCTCTGTCTCTGTCTCTGCCTCTGCCTCTGCCTCTGCCTCTGCCTCTGCTGCTCCTTCTGCTCCTGCTCCACCTCGTGCTGCTCTTCTTCCAGCTCCTCCTCCTCCTTTTTCTCCTCCTCCTCCTTCTCCTTCTCCTCCTTCTCCTCCTCCTTCTCCTTCTCCTTCTTCTTCTCCTCCTCCTCCTCCTCCTCCTCCTCCTCCTCCTCCTCCTCCTCCTCCTCCTCCTCCTCCTCCTCCTCCTCCTTTTCCTTCTCCTGTTCCTCTAGTTCTGCCTCTTATGCTGCTGGCAACAATCCTCAGGTAGGCCTCCCACACCCAGCACCATGTTTCAGTTCAGCTGGGTGTTACAAACTGACCACCAGTTGTTAATCCACCACAAAAGTGATGATTTTTTTTTGTCCTAGACAGAAAAGAGCAGGAATTCTTTAGATTTTATCGTGCTTCTTAAAATGGGACATAATTTAAAACAGATGAATAGTTTAATCTCTGAAATTTTCCACTTAATATTTTTGTGGTAGACAGCAGGTGACTGAAAATTCAGAGTAAAACTATGGATCTGCATGTTTATACATCCACCCCAAGTCCTTCATTCAAATCCTGTTTTGTTTTTTTTTTTTCCTGCTTCCTTAGATAAATATGAAACTTCATTTGGGATTCACTGAAATTTTGCATAATGAAATGATTTTGACTGCATGAGTTAATGAACCATTAAAAATATGATTGGTTTTTCCTGAATGCTTCAATCTCCTAAAATGCCAGGTAATAACACATACTTGTAATTCCAACATTCAGTAGGATGAGGCAGGTGCAACATAATCACAAATTTGAAGCCAGCATGGGCTACACAGTTGAGTTCAAGGCCAGATTACTACATAGCATAATCCTTTCTCAAATAAACAAGAAAGAAAGAAACATATTTAATGAGAGGTATCTGAAAACATTTTTTCAAAAAGGAAAGATATACACCGTATATCATAAAACAGCATATGGTTTAAAGGCTGGAGTCCTCCACTCCCCTGAAAAGGTCCTTGTTATGCCATGTTTCAGGAACAAAGGCAGGTAGCACATTGGCAGTTTCCTGGTATCTGTCTTACAGCTGAAATTCTTCCACTACTTTATATTTGCCTAAGTAACTTGCAAATGATCTCATTTCTATGAATTGAAAACTATTTCAAATGACAGAGTTTTCCAAACAAAACATGTTTAATAGAATAACAAGTGACATTACAAATTTTAAAAAGGCTTGGAGGAAAACAAAGTTGAGACATACTGAGTAAGAATGGTGAAGTGGTTTCATTTTAGAGCTTCTCTGATTCCTTAATATGGTTCTATATACTGGAAATTTATCAAAAAATTTTCCTTACTTTGCTCTGGGATTCTGATTGGGAAGAGTATCATGAAACAGGAATTCTGTAGTACACTTGGCTCTGAATACATGAGATCCATGTTCTCAAATTCAACCAGCCATGCACATAAAATATTTGGGAAAAATTGAATCTATATTGAATTGATTATTTTCAGAAGTATGGCCAATTTAACAATGTTAATTATCCCAATCCATGAACATTGGAGTTTTTTCATCTGTTTTCTTCAAATTCTTTATTCCATGTCTTACAAGTTTCACTGCAGAAGACTTTTACTTCCTTGATTAGATTTATTCTTTCTTTTTCTTTTCTTTTTTTTTTTTCTTTTCTTTTTTGTGCCAGGGATTGAACACAGAATTTTGAACTTCCCAGGCAGACATTTATACTACTGAGCTATATCTCCAGCCTATGTTTGTTCTTTATTTATCACTATTATTATTATTTTTTTTGTATTTTAGGGAAGGGTCTACAGGGTATCACTACTAGTTCAGACTTGTAGTGATCCACCTGTTTACAGCCTCCCAAGAGCTGGGATTACAGGCACATGCCACCACGCCCAGGATTAATTGCTGTCTCAACATGCCCAGGGATCAAACCTCTGGCCCCTGCACCTGCTTGTAGGAGCTTTAATCTGCTGAGCTATTTGGATGGCAGCTTAGGTTTATTCTTAAGTGTTTTGGTTTTTAAACCTATTGCAAATGGATTGTTTTCCTGATGTCTTTCTTAGCAAAATCATTACTCTTGTGGAAAAAGACTATTTTGTTGACTTTGTATGCCACTAATTTGCTTACAAGTTCTGAGACACTTGAAGTGGACTATAGGGTTTTCTAGGTATAGAGTCATACCTTCTGCCTACAGGAATAACTTCTTTTTTATTTGTATCTCTTTTAATTATATTGGTTTATTTCTCTGGCTGATTTTCAGTAAAGTATTGAGTACGTGGTGAAAGTGGAAATCCTAGTCTTATTCTCAGCATTTTCCCATCAGTATGATGTTACCTATGGGTTTTCTATATGTAACCCTCATTATGTTTAGGTAAGATTCTTCTCTACATAGTTTATTCAAGGTTTTATTAGGAAAGTTTTTGAATTTTTTTCAAAACTTTTTCTCTATAAGTTGAAATGATCATGTGCTTTTTATTCTTAACTCTGTTTATATAGTGAATTATATTTATTAGTTTGTGCATATTAAACTATTCCTTTACCACTAGGATGAAATCTACTTAGATATATTGTACAATATTTCCAGTGTGATGTTGAATTCCATTTATGAATATTTTTGAGGATTGTGGTATATATGTCCATCAAGAATATTAGTATAGAGGAAGTTCAAAATAGCCACCGCAGAGACCCAGGAGCTGTGGGAGCAGCTGGAGATGGAAGATGCTGATAATTCTGAGAAGAGTATCAATGATGAAAATGGAGAAGTATCAGAAGACCAATCTCAAAATAAACACAGTCATCACAAAAAAAGAAACATAAACACAGAAGTAAACACAAGAAGCATAAACATTCCTCGGAAGAAGAACAAAAGAAGGCTAAAACACATAAGCATAAGCATAAACATAAACATAAGAAACACAAAAGGAAAGAAATTCTTGATGCCTCTGACAAAGAAGGCATGTCTCCAGCAAAAAAAACTAAACTTGATGATTTAGCTTTGCTGGAAGACTTGGAGAAGCAGAGGGCCTTGATTAAAGCTGAACTCAATAAAAAGCTGATGGAAAGAAAGGTCCAGTCTGAGATGAGACTCAATTTACAGTGCATGAGCCTGGCCCTGAGGAAGAAGGGGAAATTTCTGAAAAGGTGAGAAATGGGAATAGGTCTAGTACTAGATCTTCAAGTACAAAGGGGAAACTTGAACTGATGGACAATAAAAATAGCACAAAAAAATGAAGTACAAGCAGATCCAAAGAACAGACTAAATGTAAGTCAGATAAAAAGAAAGGTAAGGGAGACATTCAAATAGCTGAAGAGAAAAACCACAAGGAGCAAGTCCAAGGAGAGAAGGAAATCCCAGAGTCTCTCCAAGAGAAGCAAGTCTCAAGACCAAGCAAGAAAGTCAAAGTCCCCCATGCTTAGAATGCACTCTCAGGAGAAATTGGTAAAGCCAGATCTTCCCCCACTGAGGAGAAGGTTAAAATTGAAAAGAAGAGTAAGATAAAAGATAAGAAAAAGTCCCCAATTATAAATGAAAGTAGAAGTGGAGATAGAGGTAAAATGTCCAGATCCCCAGTTGGTCATGGTCCAAAGAGAAAATCAGAAAGGTCTGAAGTTGGTAAGTAGAAGAAGCCCATTAAGTCTCTGTCTAAGGATGCTTCCTCTGAGAAAGAAAACAGGTCACCCAGTAAAAGACCTGATCACAGTCCTAAGCGAAGTCTTCTCCTTGCGTGAGAAGTTCAAGAGAAGTAGATCTCCACTCTTGAATGATAGAAGATCTAAACAGCAAAACACTTTCCCGAACTCTGTCTCTGGGAAGAAGGGCCAAGAACCAACCTTTAGAAAGAAAACATTGGGAACTAGAGAGGAGACAACTTTCTTCTCCAAGAACACGCCCTTGAGATAACCTCCTCAGCAGGAAGGAATGGTACAAGGATGGACCTCTCAATCGGTGGTCTCCAACACGGAGAAGTCACTCTCCCATAAAAAGGTGATCCCGCTCCCCATTCAGGCACAGTGGGTATCCCCAGTGGAGAAACAGGTCTCCCCAAGAAAAGATAGACTTCAGAGGGGCAGATCATGCATGCTTGAGGAGGAGGAGGTCTTGATCACAGGGTGGCCACTGGCAAAGGAGCAGAAGCAAAGTGAAGGAAGACAAATTCAAAGGAAGTATTTTGGAAGGCATGATTGTGGAAGGCATGAAAGTTGAGCAGGAGTTGTCCTCTGATTACAAAGATTTTGAATTAGAGAAAGAGAATGAAGAAGGACTAATAGAACAGAGATGAACACAGAGGCAAGAGACTGCTCAGAAATATAAGTACCTGGCTGAAGACGGTAATCTGTCTGTGCCATCAGAGCCACCAGCCCCCAGAGCAGCACTTGGACATGATCGCCCTCTCCAGATGGTATCCTGGAGCGGGTCACAGCTGTTGTCAAAGAATATGAGCAGGAAAATGTTGACACATTGGAAGCCTCAGTAAAAGCCAAGCATAATCTTATGACAGTTGAACAGAATAATGGTTCATCTCAAAAGAAGCTGTTGCACCTGCCATGTTTACAGAATCTGATGATATGTTTGCTGTATATTTTTATAGTGCTGGACTTGGGGCTGCTGGCTTTGGAAAAGATTTCAAAGAGAACCCCACACTCAAAGATAACTGGACTGATGCAGAAGGCTATTTATGTGTGAACACAGGTGAAGTCTTAGATAAGTGTTATGTGTATGGCTACATTGGGCAAGGTATCTTCAGCAACATTATGCAGGCAAGAGATAATGCAAGAAGAAAACAAGGTGGCTATGAAGATCATCAGGAACAATGAGCTCATTCAAAAGACTGGCCTAAAAGAACTCGAGTTCCTGAAGAGATGCTTACCCTGATGACAAGTTCCACTGCATGTGGCTTTTCAGGCACTTCTACCACAAGCAGCATCTGTGCCTCGTGTTTGAGCCTTTCAATATGAATTAATGAGAGGTATTTAAAAAATATGGTAAGGATTTTGGTCTTCATATTAAAGCTGTAAGATCCTACATTCAGCAGCTGTTCCTGGCATCAAAACTCCTTAAAACATACAATATCCTACACTCAGATATTGAGCCAGACATCCTGGTTAATGAATCAAAAATGATTTTAAAGCTCTATGATTTGGGGTCAGCTTCCCACATCATGGATAATGACATAACACCTTACTTTGTCACTAGATTTTATCTGGCTCCCGAGATCATTATAGGTAAAAACTATAACTATGGTATAGATATGTGGTCTGTAGGCTGTACCTTATATGAGCTCTATACTGGAAAATTTTGTTTCCTGGTAAAACCAATAACCACATGTTGAAGCTTGCCATGGATCTCAAAGGAAAGATGCCAAATAAGATGATTCGGAAAGGTGTATTTAAAGATCAGCATTTTGATCAAAATCTCAACTTCATGTACACAGAAGTTGATAAAGTAACAGACAGGGAGAAAGTCACTGTCATGAGCACCATTAATCCAACTAAGGACGTGTTGGCTGACTTGATTGGGTACCAGTAACTTCCTGAAGACCAATGTAAAAAAGTGTACCAGCTAAAAGACTTGTTGGACCAGATCCTAATGTTGGACCCAGCTAAACGAATTAGTATCAGCCAGGCCCTACAACATGCATTCATCCAGGAAAAAAATTTAAACAGATGAAGGAACTACAAGGGTTTGAGTAATTAAATATGAAGACTAAAAAAATTCACAACAGTTTATTATTAATGTATATAAACTTATAAATATTTCTCCAGCAAATTTGAGGAAGCATTGATATATTTGAATTAACACCAAGGGTGATGTTTCTTTTAGAAATGTTAGTTAATCTGTTTTGTGTCTTATGTGAAGTGTCACTGTAGAATTGTTGTAACTGCCACGACTGCACAAACTTATACTGCTAATGTATATGGTTGCAGTTCACATAAAAGACAAAAGCATCTGTTATAAAATGAGTAGTAATACTGGGTGGATGATTCATTTTTAGCAGACTTTGCCTTCCTGGTGTTTATATTCACATTTTCCTAGGTGTGTGTGTGTGTGTGTGTGTGTGTGTGTGTGTGTGTGTGTGTGCAGGCCACAGTAACATATCCTGGGTGTAGTCAGTGCCAAAGGGGATCTGTTTCTTCTTGAGGCTGTCTGCAGGGTTGTCTCCTCTTTTAAATCAGGTTGTGTACAACATTCAGTACACTGCAGGTAAGCTACCATCAGCATTACTGGCATTTTAAGCTGTTGTTTTATTGGAATAATTGACAAATGAGGGGTTTTAGATTTGTAGCAGAATTTGCTGCATGTGTGATAGCTACAAAATGTCTTCAGGATTGTCATGCTCCAAAGTTATGTATGAGATGGCTCAGCAGCATAAGAGCCTGTGTGGCAGTGCAAGATCCTGAGTTCAATCTCTGGTGCTGTGTGGAAAGTAGAAGTTATATTTAACCTGGGGTTCTAAATAGTTTCCAAAAAAAACCACTGGTTATGTATGGTTTTGATTTATAAATTTTTGAGTAAAATTTGATAATTCTTGTCTGTTAACATTCTGTAGGGATTTAAATATTACAATGTCCATGGTTGTTGGAAAATATCAGTTCCATTTTATATCTAAGGTGTTTGATACTCAGATAGATAATAATGTTAAGCTTATTGCCTCCATTCCAGGCTAATGTCATTAAGCTTCTCTTCTGGATGTTTAACAACTGAGGTTTGGAAACCAGAAATTAGGAAGATAGATGGGCTAATCGAATAGCCAATATTTTGTTCCTAGCCCTCCAAGGTTAATGAGGACTCAGGACATAAAAGGACCTCTGCTGTAGCATCCTGTAACTCAGCTGAATCTGTGATTTTTCTGATCAAGGAGATTATGGGTTCACAGAGCAAAGTGATTTAACTATGTATAGTGTGCCTAAGGAGAGTCAACTTGAGAGAAAAAAAATTGTTGAAGCTTTCACAGAAAGCAACTTGGTCAAGCAAAGGCTGTGATTCATCCAGATGGCTGACACTGACAGAAGATCTAAAAGGTGCTATATTTGATTCTAAGGTGAATTCTGAAGAGATTTAATTGACCTTGACAGTAAAAAGTTATTTTTCTTATTTATACCGGTCTTGCCTTGTTCTTAACCAGCCAGCAGAAAAGTATAACCATGAGATATGAAAAAGCAATGCCACAGTAACATACTACTTGTAAAAGTTCAAATCACTAACAACTTCTGACAGTTGGCAGCTGCATTATTGTTATGCACTATTGGTCTATGTAGGGTTAGACTGCTGCATTCTGAACTGGCATCAAGAATGAAAAGGTGGAGTACGATTTTCTGCCGAGTTCCGGGAGCCCCCAGACCCAGTCCTAGCCCAGGTCCGG